CCCCAAAACCCCAAAACCCCAAAACCCCTAAAATGGAAATAGGTTTGTTTTAATGAAAAATTTAACAAATTCAAATAATCAATTACATTTTGGTAAAAATATCAGAAAAGGTGCTATTAATAGTGCTATAATAATAAAAGGCTGTAATCCTAGAATAACTAGTAAAATTATAAAAACCATAAAGACTAACTTCATTTATTCTACAAATTTTCTCGAATTTTAATCGAATTCCTCATTCCTTTTATAACATGGTATGTTACTCATTTTTCTATGAGATATCAATTAATTAATCAAAGTAAATGGCAAAATAATCAAAGAAATGAAGGGCAAAAGCAGATAATATCCAAGTATAAAAATCACCTTATCTTTCTTCTTAAATTCGATTCTTTTAGCTTCATCAAATATAGAATAATATAAGAATCTATCTCTCAATTATTCTGGAGACTGCTCGATCAAATCTCTCTACTCTTCTGCTTTCTCTGTATTATATAATATATCTTATTTCCATTTTCTTTAGATAGAACTACAAACATCAAAATTAAGTGGATTGAAATGATTTGATCGAGATTATGAGTTTAGAATTTTTCTACAGAGAACACAAAATACTTCCTCGCATTTAGAACAATATAAATGGAATTCATCGCAGTCTTACAATTAAATACATATCTGATCGCAAGATTTTATCTAATTAGTCTTTTTACTGACTCTCATGTTTGGACAAATTTAGATTGCTTTACTTAATTTTAATCTATCATATAACCTAGCTAAAACTTCATGGCAACTTTCGTTTACATTTAAATGGGTGAAATTGCAAATAAAGCAGCATAACTCATTGCAAATTTCACAGAATATCATACCATTTTATTCTATCTATTTCCTAGTAAATTGCTGTGAGCAACCTTAACAGTTAAATCTTTCTTGAAGTAAATGTCCAAGTATTTAAGATTTTTATGTTTTTATTCTGATAGTCTATTTCTAATCCAATATTTTTTCTAGGTGATCCTAATCAATCTAGATTTTACAAACAGGGCATTTGATCTTTAAAACTCTCATTTAAGATATCTCAATTAGCAAGTATTATTAAAGGCATTCATTACAAAATAAATGATCACACTTCAATCTATTTTAGATTTCATCATCTAAGTTCGAAAAACAGATCAGACATTTGGCTTATTAAGGTTTTGTTTAAAATTAGTCTTCAAGCCCAGCAATATTGAGATTTTTTATAGCTTTTGCGACCTTTTTAAAATGCTGTAATACCAATTCTTTGTTTTTCTCACTAAGTTTCCTGAATTTGTTCTCAAAATCTTGATGATTTAAATTACCATTATTTATCATTTACAAGAACCTTCCTGTTAGATCAGGTTGCTAGTCATCTTAAATTTATATTTTTTACCTTGAGAATCTCAAATTACCTTTTAACTTAACGAAATTATTAGTGTTTTCTCCCTATTGATTGATTAATTAATGAATCTTCATTTACTCAAATTCTTTTTAATTATTAGGTGATTCTTAGTTATATTCTTCGTAAAGAAAATATTCATCTCTCATCAGTGTGAACCCTTAAAGTTAGATTTCATCCTCATCCAATACATTCCATAACTTAAGGTTGTAATCCAGATTATGCCTTTGATAGATATCACCACATATTTCACAACTATGATGAATGGGCTGGGCCTCAGCTTTATTGATAAGTTTGCCCTCTTTAGAAGTTATGATTTGAAAATTCATTGATCCTTAAGATATAGACGGCACTCCTCTTAGTGTCTCGATGATTTTCTCATGATCATTGCAGTAGTTATTATTGTTGTTATTGATGTTTAGATTATGAAATAATTCTCTATTTTGATCAAGCAATTTCAATGTTTATTCATTGTTTTTTATTAGAAAATCTGTTGAATTATTCTTGGTATGCTAATTATCTATGTTGCTTCTTACATTTTAACTCAGAACTGTCGTAAAAGGAGCAATATTTCCAAATTTACTGTTTTGCCTTTCCAATATGGTACAAGAATCGTTCTCTATTTAAAGCAAATTTATTTTAGAAATGTCTTGGTCAATGTTAGGATTAATCTAACTTTGATCCAGTTTACTTTGATTTAGCTTTTGCTCGTTTATATCTTAAGAAGATTAAGTGAATTTTATCTTTTTAGGAGATATTACTGATTTTTACATAAGCTAAACTTTTTTGAAGTAACCTAAGATGTCATTCAAATATTTCTTGTCTACTTATTTCCTGATGTTACTCAAATCAATTTTAACCTTTTAACTGCTTAAGTCTGAGCATATTTTACTTTTTATTACAAATGAAGAGTTAATTATAAGACTTTCACAATATTAGTGAAACCTATCTGCATCCTCTATTTTATTATCTAAAGTGTTTTAAGACTCTGAATTAGATTCTGAATTATCTTAACAATATGGGCACAGCTTTTAGTTGTTAAACGGAATAACGTTATTTCTTTTATTTAATTAATGAATCTTCCCTTAAGGAATAAACTTATGATTTTATTTATACCCTTATTCAAGTTCATCTTATATCAGGTATTTATCTAAAAGCACCTCAATTGATAATGGCTCTGTAACCTTGTGATATAATAAAGCTTTCTAGACTACTTCAATATCGAAGCCAAGTATTACTAAGTCAATAACCATTTTTTTATTGCTAAGCTAAATCGAATCATCTAAAAAGTAAAACTATTGAACAAACGGCAAATTCTCTTTCTTATAATTTGGTCTCACTCTCAGTATTTATTAGCTTTTAGATAATTTATAATTCTAAGTCCGCACTCTCTCTTATTATATTCTTTAAGAATGCACACTTTATATCTTTGATTACTTCTAGCTTTTCATCATGCTAATACCATTTATTTTTTAGGGAAGACTTTAGTAAGACATTATTGAAAAAAAATCATCATCATTTTCATTCTTAGCAGAGCTTTTGAAATTTGATCTTTAAGATTTGAACTTGGAGAATTAAGATTCATCTGCGAATACTTGTTCGATCTTATTTTGAAGAAGTGAATTACGATTCCCAGTGTAGTTGCCCTTAATTAGTTTAATCATAGGTTGGAATGCCTCAAATCTCTTGATATGTTCTATACTCATTTATGATTTATCGCTTTAAAATCTTCTGGCTGAAAAATCATCTTGATTTTAGTTTTAATCAATGCTCTATATTCTATCATGCAACATATCTAACATCTATTTTTATTTCAAGTAGGCTTAATCTCTTTAGTTGAATTTCTATTTTCCAGGCTCCTACAGATTTTACAACTTATTTGGGTTTAAGCCTGAAGACATGTATTATTTCTAATGCTGTGCCATTTGATGGTTTCTAAGTTGAAGGTAGCTCCTTTGATTCTTTAGATTGGAATAGCCAAGAATAGACTACATTGAATCATAGTTATTGTTGAAAGAGTTGGAAACATCCTACTCAATTGTACTGCTTTTATCCCTCTCCATTTTCTTTATCTGTGCTTATTAAGCAGGAGTCTAACTCTTATTATGAATAAATATTACATTGTCATCAACGAGGTTTACCACTTAATTCTATCTTATCCTAGAAGTATTAGATGAATTTTGCAATGCAAGATTTTTAGGATTTCTTTTTGAAGTATATAAACCCTATTATTTTGCAAAAAAGCTTTATCCTGCAGAAAATTCATTCTACTTATTTAGCCTTTGACTTAAATGTACTTTATTCTCCCCAATATTATTCTTAAAAGCTTTATTTTAGGCCTTAGATTTATCAAGTTTATAAGATTCATAAGGTGAATTGTCTCTAGGCTTTTAGTTTTAACTGTTATTTTGTAATTAATTTGGCCTAACATCAAAAGTATTTGTTCTTACACTCTTTAAGTTTTATAGGAATTAGTAATAACCTCCAGCCGGATTCGCTACTTAATTATTTAAGATTTTGTCAAGTTCTTATTAATATTATCTGGCAGGATCGAGCTATGCAAAACCAGACGATTTAAAAATTGAATTGCTTTAAAATTAGTAGGACTTTCTGTCATTAAATTACTCTTCATTTTATGACTTATCGAATACCATCATATTGTTTTATCCTCCGCTGAATACACTATTATCCTCAATACTCATCATTTTCTAGAGTTTGTTTTGCCCTTTATTCATGGCATGAACTTATGGTGGTTGTCTACTTTTACGCTGCTGGACTCTATCATAGGCTTCATCATCATTAGTCATCTCTCTTATTGGTCTGATCTTTTGATCGTTAATGCTACTGTCATCTTCGTTTAAGGCAAAATGATTGTCGTTTGTATGTTCTACATCATAGTATAATTGATGCTATTAATATCCCTCTAAGTTACTTTAATCTTTCATGTTTCAAAATTATTAATGAATTCATAAAAATATATAAGGATAAATCTCTAGTTGCAATTTCATCTCAATGTCAGCTTTACTTTGATTAAGGGGTTTTGGGGTTTTGGGG